GGCACAGGCCGGCCTTCCGCGAGGTGGCTCGCAACCGCCAACTCTCCTCCTGCCCTTGCTATTGTTCTCGAGTCCCTTCTTCGTCACCCGCCCCCATGGCCCAGGTGCCCCTCCATGCGGGGCCGACTTTTAATGTCCGTCTCCATCTCAATCGGTGTGACTGGGTGTGGCACTTTGTTTGGCGGCAGCTTTAGGGGCTGTGGGGCGCCCCGACTGCCTAGACCCTCGCGAAGCCACGCGTCGGGGGCCGCCGAGGTCACGCTCCTAACGTGAGGGCCTCCGACCACTCCCACTGCGCGTGCGCCCGAGAACCAAGTGCAGGGAAACCAGAGGGTTAATCAACAAGCGATGGTCCCATCAACTGTTGGGTTTTTTCCTTTAAAAAATACCAGAAAAAAAATGCCGGGAGTCGAGCGGCAGCTACGCCCTGTGGTGGTTCTGTGCTGCTAAGTGGCAAACCTCAGCTCCCCAAAGACTTCGTATGAGGACCCGCTCTCCTCACAATTTCTGGTCCAGCGCCTCAGGGTGGAACCAAACAACAAAATAAGAACCTGAGGAAGCTTCCTAGCTCAGAAATGGCAAGGGGAAGTCCAGCAAGACTGCATCTCAGCCTTCCTCAGCCCGTTTTCCCGCTGTCTCCCACGGCTGGGGCCCGTCGCCCCAGCGCGTTGACAAGCCAGCCCAGAAGCCGGAGCTCCCGCGGGAGTTTGGCCTGCCGAGCGAAGGCGTGGCCAGCCCAACGCGGGGGGCCGGGCCTCGGCCGGAAGTGGCGTCACCGCGCGGGCGGGTCTGGGAGCGCCGCTTGTGCGGCCGGAGACCAAGGGCTGGACCGGGTTCTCCAGCTCGATGGCGCACATCACCATTAACCAGTATTTGCAGCAGGTAATTGGTTTGCTTGCGAAGTCCCGGGCATCCCCCCCGCCCCTGGCTTGTGTCACCGTTGTGCTGCGCCTTTTATCTCGTTCTCTTGGCGTCTGCTCCGGTTGCCCCAGTCGCGTGCGTATTCTGAAAAGGGATCGGAAGCAGGAATCGACAACATTAGAGAGCCTGGCGTGCTTCAGCCTCAGAACGACCAGGCTGGGTGGGAGTCACGGCGGAACGGTAGCCAGACGCAGCTTCACTCTGCTCTCTCCTTCGTGGGCAAGTCGCTCACGGTGTACGGAATATTTCTGCGGTGATTTCCTACTGATGAAAGATACACGTGTCCTGCTTACTGGGAATCTAGGGATAATTCAAACGGTCGCTGCTCGCAGTTCAGGGGCGGGGGGCAGGGGCTGGCGAGACCGTGTGGGTTCTAGTGAGTCTTGAAGAACCTCTAAGAAACGTTAAGGAATTTGGGTTTGGCCCTTGGACAGCCAGCCATTGACAAGTCTTAACCGAGGGCCTGATTGATCCGATTTTTGTTTCAGGTGGTTAGTGGTGGAAATGTGAATTAATGTATTGGAGATAAATTTAAATAGAAGACGCTCACTGCCATCGAGTCGCTTACTGCTCTTTACGACCCTGGTGGCGCTGTAGTGGGCTAATACATTGAGCTGCTAACCCACAAGGTGAGCAGTATGAAACCACCAGCTGCTCCTCAGGAGAAAGATGATGTTTTCCCTTGCCGTGAAGATGTACAGCCTCGGAAACCCACCTGGGCGGTTCTACTCAGTCCTAAGGGTTGCTGTGAGTGGGCATCGCCTCGATGGCACCCAGTTTGGTTTGTTGTTGCTTTGGTTTACAGCCATTTCTCACCGCCAGCAAACTGCCTCTATGGGTTTCTGAGACGGTAACTCTTTAAAGTGACCAGAAAGCCTTATTTTTCTCCTAGTAAGGATACATTTTGTGTCAGAGACCCCGGTTGTTGCAACTTAAAGCTCAGGGCTGCTTACTGAAAAATTGGGCGCTCAAGCCCACCCAGCTGGGGATAAAGGCCTGAAGATCCTCTTCCCTAAGGATTACAATTGAGATTGCAAACCCGGTGGGACTATTCTATTTAGTTACACGAGCTCCTGTGAATCGTGGGGGCCTATGGCATCTAACAGTAACAAAATTTGCCCTACCAGTATACCCTGCAGATGGCAGAAATAAAAATAACATATAAATCTCTACATGCAAACCTTTCATTATTTCCACAGAACTATGTTCATTGCCAGAACTGGCATAGTGATAAGGATAAGAGAGGGAATGGATTTAAATATTTGAAGTAAGTATTACAAGGATGTAGTGATTAAGAATGTGTGTTGTGATAGCAGCATGAAGAGTGATTTCCACAGGAAGCAACCCCTGGTCATCTACTTCTGTAACCAAAGCCAAGGAGAGCACAGTTTTACCGGAACATTCTTGGGTCATTATAAGTTGGGGTTGACTCATTGGCAACTGGTTTAGGGTAAAATAAAGTTTTTTCATATGTTAAAAATATGTATTTCCAGATTTCTCACTTGGGCAGATTTAAAGGGAAAAACATTTAATTTTGGACACGTTGAGTTTGAGGTTGGCAGTCATATAAAACTAGTTAGCTGACAGTTGGATAAAGTTGACATTCTCGAGACCAGCAGTTTTTGTTAATTTATAACAGAGTTTGCACTAAATCCTAGCTCCAACTTAAGTATTCTTACATCATGGCCCTGCTTGATACTCACCCTCAGGAAAGGAACTCAGAAGATATGGGTGCTGTAGCAAAGTGTGGTGAAGAAATTAAATGGTGCCTGATCATCAGATAAAATAGCTTCTAAGTGAGATATCAACCAAGTGCACATGGAAGAAGCACACCAACATCAGTTATCGATGGATTGTAAATCACATAATCCGAAGCCTAATGGGGGGAATAGTATAAGAGCCTAAATTGTGAGAATCTGGTTTGCAGAAGGCTATGGGTGACAGACCAGGAGATACATTTGTGAAATCTACATAGGAAATAAGTCTCTGGAGATCCCTCTGTAATGGAGGGATAGGAATAAACTAGGTAACCAAACAGTGCATTGGGAAGAAGACTATAGGAGATCAAAATGATAAACCTGACTTGAATGGTTAAAACCATGTCAATTGATCCTCTTTTTTGATGCACATTGGGCCTGATTTAGTTTTCAACATGTTCTGTTTGTTCATATTGGAGTTTATCTCAGTTGAATTTTGTCATTGGGGGAGTGACCCTCTTGAATTTTTGTTAAATGTTTTTGTATGGATTCCAGGATTGATGAGCCTACAGAGAAGAATAAGGGTTGGGTTGGGGGTGGGGGGACAGCACCTTGGTGGGGTGATAAAGGGAGCTGTTGTCAAGTTCAAGAAGGAAAAGAATGGATTGAAACGGATTGTGGTAGCAATTGTATGTACAATACTGCTTGATGTGATTGAAGAATGGAGCAAATATTGTATCTGTATTAGCACCCAATAAAATGGCTTTGGAAAAAGAAAAAATTGGTTAAAATGGGAATCATGAAAAAAAAAACCCACTGCCAGCAACTCACAGTGACCTTAGAGGTCAGAGTAGAACTGCCCCAGGCTGTGAATCTTTGTGGAAGCGGACTGCCACACCTTTCTCCTAGGGAGGGGGCGGGTAGGGGGAGCCAGACACAGATACATATTTTATTTTAATCTAAGACATAACGTGCCAATTTTTAAAATAATAGACCCAAGACCTTTTTTTAAAGTGGCAGGGCTATCTTAGCCTTATCTTTGCAATGAACATTTTCTAATACCAGTCTATATAAAGTTGAACAAGGACAGAAACAGTGAAGCAATTTGAATATAGAATCTCTAAAATTTCATGTTTTTCTTAATCTTTTACTATATTGTGTTCACACTTGATTCCTCTTTTTTCTCTTTAGAAACTCACCTTTAATGAACCTTTTAAAACAGCTTAATTTGCAGAGAAGCAACAGCTCCCTTTTTGCACTCATATTTCACTGGTGCCCTTAATACACATAATTACGCTACATGTGCAAGAAACAGAAACATACTTGATTAAAAACATCTGAATCTCAGTTCACACACAACTCAGCTGACGTATCTTTGAGAGTGTCCCTTTACCCACTTTTCTGTTGTCCGCCCCACTGGGAGGGGGTTATAGGTAGATCATAGTGATCAGTTAACCCCTACATCATTGCATCTTATGGCTAATGTTCTGTGTTTGGTCTCTAGCACATATTGTTTAAAGGTCCCTAGGTACCCCCAAGTGTTTGCTAATCCAAGGTTGGTAGGCCTTCATGTCTCTTTATGGTTGAGTAAGTTCAAAGAACCCTGGTTGCACAGCATTTGAATACTCAGCTGCTAATGGAAAGGTCAGTGGTTCAAATATAGCGGCTGCTCCATTGGAGGAACTTATGGCAGCCTGCTTTCATAAAGAAATTGCTTTGATAAGACTTGTCTAGCCATTTTTGTCCAACTCCTACCAATTGATTATATGAGGGCATGCAAATAAGGATGGAGGACTCTAAACATTGGCTAGTTGTGCCATTTAGGGTATCATAGAACAGAGAATCCTGGGAGCATCAGGCAGCCAGTGGAGCACATGTGAGATCCCAGTCAAGTGACAGAGGCTGTATCCCAGAGACAGAGAGAGAGAGCAGAGGAGCCACACTGCTGAGATCAGGAGGCAGAGTGGCAGCTGGGCATCCTGGTCCATGGAGACAGAGGCCAAGCGACTGCATAACGGAGTGGCTGAGGGCCAGAGAGACTTAAAGTACTACTGACTGAGGAGAGGTCTGCTGTGGGGCCAAGACTGCTTCCTTAATGTTTTATGGAGACTACTTGTGATAGACTGTTAACTTCTCTAATAACCAACTCCTCATAATCCTGAGTTCTGTGTGACCCTGAATATGTGTTGCAATGAATTCGTGAATCCCCTTGGGGAAGAAAAGTACAATGGGTGGGATGATTGGTATCAGAGTACAAAGGGATGGAGAATGGAGGCAAGGCTGACCTCTGCTTTGAGGCAATTGGCCATGGGCTGGTGTGGAGTTGGATTCTCCTCCCTACTGCAGCCTGGCAAGGTCAGCCGTAACCTCCAGGCCATTTCCTCCCAGCCTAGAAACTCAAGGAGCCAGGTCTTATTGTGTCCTATATTGTTGGCTATGAGTCAGAGTCAACTAAGGAATTATTTAATATTCTATTGTATGTGAGGAGACTTCAAAAAGGTGGTGACGAAATTCTATTATCTTTGCATTCCACTTTTCTGCAACCTTTTTGAGGCCCCATGTGAGACATTTTGTTTATTTATTCATCTATTGATGGACTTTTAGGTTGTTTTTATCTTTGGGTATTTCTTACACACATCTTTTTTGAAAATAATAAGGATATTTTTCTTTTTTAATACCACATTAAGCTTGTTCCAGTTTTGGCTCCTGAGGATTCCTCAAACTGATTTCAGTGACTTGTTCCTTTTCATCTAGGCTTTCTTTTTTCAAGAAAGCATATTTTGGTATATTGTGGTGTTGCATAATCTGTTGGCAATTTAAGAGTGAAGGGGTGAAGTTTAGTCTGTCAATCAAGTCGCAGCTTGATGACCTCATTTGGAGCTGCAAAGGAGATAAATAGCTAGCTGGAGGTGGGAAACTCTCACACACTCCCTGCAAGACATTCCTTTTGACAAGCCACGTGGAGCTTTGCTGAGAGAGCCAGAGCCAGAGCCAGAGCCCTGGAGCTGGAGGAGCCACGTGGAAATCTTCACCAGCGCTGAGATGCTTCCACCACCACTAGATACAAGACTTTCCACCCATTGGCCTGTGATCTTCTTGCGTTGGGCATCATTGCATGTGTTGCATGTGTCTGAAGAGGAATTTATAGATTCGTATCAGACTTATGGACTTGACTGGGCTGGGATGTTTTCAGTTTTCTATTGCTCCTATATATAAAGCTCTTTCTTATACGCATATGAATGTCTCCCTAGATTTGTTTCTCTAGTCTACCCAGACTAACACAAATCTATATAATAAAAAGAAAGCCTGGACCAATGATCCAAAACCCATTGCCACAGTGCCAATTCTAACTCATACTACTGTAGCTCACAGAACTGTTCCATAGGATTTCCAAGGCTATAAGTCTTTACAGACACAGACTGCAATAGAAGGAACAGTAACCCGGGTGAGGATTATTCCTTAAATCCATCAACTGCCTGCACTAGCCCAAAGCTGATTCCGAAGGCAGGGATGGGCAGGAAAGAGGGGCGAGTGGAAACTCGGGAGTCCAGCAAGAAAGTGAGTATAATGCTGCTACATTTAAGGATTGCAACCAACCCCGTGAAACAAATGTATAAATTATTGAATGGGAAACTAATTTGTTCTGAAGTTTCATTTCAATAAAACGGGTTTTTGTTTGTTTAAATTACAACCTAGGAAACCTTTGAGGGAGAGCTCTATTCTGTCAAATATCACTATGAGTCAGAGTTGACCCTGTGACACAAAACAAAATGAAGGCAAAAATTGAGACATCTATCCAGTAGTTCATTGCACACCAACTTCTTCTGTTCTTTACATATCTTGAAAGCAGGATTGTTTTTGCCTCAATTTTTATATCTGGGAAACTTTGCCAAACTTGATAGCCAGCTCAATCCACTTTATTCAGGATTGAGCTTGCTTTCCAGAGAATAGTTATTCATGTTTTCATCCTTTTCCCAAGATTTTAAAAAGTCAATGTGTTAGTCTGGGTGGACTAGAGAAACAAATTAATAGACACTCGTGTATAAGAGAGAGCTTTATATCAGAGTAATTGTATATTAAGAAAACATCCCAGCCTAGTCCAAATCAAATCCATAAGTTTGATAATTAGCCCATATGTCTGATACCAGTCTAGAAATTCCTCTTCAGACTCATGCAACACCTGTAATGGACGATCACAGGCTAGTGTGTGGGAAGTTTTGTGGATCCAATGGTGGTGGAAGCATCTCAGCGCTGGCTCCTCCAGCTCCAGGGCTCTGGTTCCATCAGCTTAGATCCATTTGGCTTGTCAACAGGAAGACGAAGCAAAGAATGTGGGTCTGGCCGCCAGTGAGTTATTTATCTCCCTAGCACCTCCCAATGAAGTCATCAAGCTGTGACCTGATTGACAGCCTAGACTCCACCCCTTCACTCTTAAGTCTCAAGTTGAAACCAGATTATGTAACTACCACAGTCAAACATTATGTAACACTATAGAAATGTACCTTTCTTTTTTTTATGTACCTGTGCTGCTTAAAAGAAAAACAGCTCAAAGCGATGTATGCACCCTGATAGCAAATAATGGGTGCACTTTACCATCTGACACTACAGCGTTTTAAGAGCAATTGATGGCATAGGATAGTAGTTTCCAAGGAACATAGTTAATCAGACCTTCAAAGTCCCTAGAAATCTACATTTTTAATAAGACTCCCAGATGATTCTTGGTTGGTTTTGAACTAAAGCATGGCATGGGAAGTCAGTGTCTGCTTCTTGTGTGTCAGATCAGATATACAGTAAGTCATATAACTGAACCAAAATAATATTTGTACCCAAAGTGTTAATACATATTTGTAGTGAAGTAAACATGCTTGGCATGGCTTTTCTTTCCATAGAAAAGCTTGGGCTTATAATTCCCACCAAGTGATTGAGCAGAAGAGTGCAAATAAGGTGTAGGTAACTTTTTGCCAAGTGAGCCATTTCAGAAGCAAGAACTGAGAATCTGGCCAGCAGAAAGAAGAGTCACCAGAGAAGAGGATCAGATCCCTATGTAGAACAGTGGCAGTGGCAGTAGAGGCTGCAGCATGGAGACCGTGAGAGCGGTGATAGACTTGCCAGCTCACGGAAGCAGTGAGGCTGAGTTCCTCCCACGAGGAGGCTTGCACCGAAGGAGCTCTGGAACACTAGGTGAGAGGGCAGAGACCGAAGGACTGCGCGGCCCAGAAGCTGAAGACCAGAGAGACATGCCTGCCAATAAGATTCAAAGAGAAGCTGCAGATAAAAAGACTGTCTCCTTAAGGTTTTTAGATCCTGACTTGAACCTGTTAGCTTCCCTAATAAACCCCATGACCATATTTTCTGTGAGTTTTGAGTAGCTGTTGCAGTGGATTATCTAATCCAGCAGAGAAGTAGAGTGCTGTGGGAGGGATGATTGGTGCTAGAATAGGAAGAAAGATGGAGGGGGAGGTGGTAAATCTGACCATTCCCAATTTGGGCTGGTGTTAAGAGTTGGACTCTTCTTTTGTGTAGTCAGATAGGGTCCCCAAGCCATTTCACCAACACCTAAGCACAGTTTTTAAAATGAAATCATATATACATAGTTATATTATAATTGTGCTCATTGATAATGCAAATAATTAATTGCAAATGTAAGTGCACATGAATATGTTCCTCAATATAGAATATAGGTTTTCAAATTTATTTGGCCTATTAGGCCTTTTTCAGAAACAAAGAAAAAAATTTAATCAGCACTGTCCTGGCAATTAAAAGCTTTTGTACTGTAGCCTATAATCCAGGATAAAGTATAGGCATCCCCTTTTAAAGCCCTTCTGGATAATTCCAGGGCCCCCCAGGGGGGTGAAATCACCCACTTAGGGAAGCACTGATTTAGGGGTTTCATTAAGCATCAAAACCTACCAATCTTGTAGTCCTTTTCTTTCATTTTCTTTTAAAAATTTTTTTAGTCCTTTTCTTACACATTACTCTGTATACACATTTTCTGCATCTGATTGAATCCCTGGTTTTTATTTCATTTTCTATGTGATAATCTCCACCGAAAAATAACATTGCTGCCCTGGTGGTTGCATGTCCTAATTGTTTATCCTGTGTGGCCCAGGGACCTCTCACACTGGGCTTCCTAATACCCAACACCTGGCTTGTCCCTTTTCTCATTCTTTTTAATAGTAGCCAAGTATCCCATTGTATGAGTGTGACATCATTCACTTAACCATTCCCAAACTAGAAAAAATGAAATCCACTGCCACCAAATCAGTCCCAACTTTAGCCACCCTATAGACAGAGTAGAACTGTCCCATAGGGTTTCCAAGACTGGACTCTATGGGAGTAGACTGCCACATCTTTCCCTACAGAGCAGTTGGTGGGTTCAACTTGCTGACCTCCTAACTCGTGGCCAAGTGTTATAACTACTAGGGCCCCACTAAACATTTGAAGGGTTCTTTTATTTCATACTTAGGGTGGAAGGAAGTATTTTAAATTCTGGATATATGTGGTTAAGAGTGGGACTGCTAATCGCAAGGTCTGAGGTTCAAATCTACCCATGGCTCCTTTGGAGAAAGATATGGCTGTCTGCTCTTAGAAATATTTATAGTCTTGGAAACCCTATGGAGCAGTTCTACTCTGTCCAATAGAGTAAATATGCATCAGAATCAATTTGATGGCAATGGGATAAGTGGTTTTTAAAGCTGATTTTTTTTCTTAAATTGTATAAGTGAATTTTCAATGTCAGTGTTACTACATAAAACTAGAAGAATTCACCTTTAATAGTCAAATAAGCTACTAGTTATTTTCTTTTTATCATTTTTTAAAAAAGTAAATAACCTGCTTCTTTGCTTCTAGAAGATCCTTTTTTGGAAATTGTAGCTATTGTTTCCTGGCATTAGAGAGTGCCTACTTGTTTTATTTTGATTATTTTTACTGTCAAACTAGAGGAAAGTAAATGTTAATAGTATACTGTACTGTTTAAGTTCTGTTAAAGGAATAGCATGTTTTATTTTCTATGTAACATATACTCAAGTATAAGCTGACCCAAATATCAGCTGAGGTACCTAATTTTACCACAAAAACTGCATTAAAAATGTGCTGAAAAACTTGGTTTATACACGACTATATGTAGTAAGGTTTCCATTTTCAACTCTTTTAGGTGTATGAAGCCATTGACAGCAGAGATGGAAGATCCTGTGCGGAGTTGGTGTCTTTTAAGCACCCTCATGTTGCAAACTCCAGGCTTCAGGTAAGTGAGAGAAATATGTTTACAGGTCTAAAGAGAATTTCAGGACAACCAATATCTTTGGAGTTTCAATAAGAAGAAAGCAAAGATTTCATTTTCAATTTCATTAGAAACTTTACAGTTCTTTTATAATTTAGTAATGCCAACTGAGTTAAAATGTAGTACAGTAAAACTACTAAGATGTTGTTGATTGCTGTCGTACTGAGATATCCAGCGTATATTACTGTATGTGATTTTTATAACTACTCTGAGGTTAAAAAAGGTTAAGTAAGTCTATCCAAGGTCATACAGCTCAGAAGTGGTAAAGCTGACTCCGATCCAGACTTGTCTGTCTGCAAAGCCCATGCTGGCGCCACTAGACCACAGGTGTCTTCCATTTATTCTTTAACTCTAAAATGGTCAGCAAACAACAGAGCCCAGACTTCTTTTAGTGAATAAAGTTTTATAAGAACACAGCACATCTTTTGCTACCTCGGTCTGTGGCTGCTTTTGTGTTGCAACAGCACAGCTGAGTAGGTACAACAGTGTGCTTGTGTCCCACAGAGCCGGTAGTATTTCCTCTCTGGCTTTTTATGGAAAACATATGCCAACACCTGCTCTACAATGTTGTATCCCTATTGCATCTTGTCTTTTTGGCTAGATCAAGTGTAAAATGTTGTCTCTTTGTTTCAGAGGTCACAGGATAGTTACACAGCTTTTTATTTTGGATAGAAGAATTGAAGTTTTATAAAGCCTTATTACTTTTTTTCTATCATAAAACTGAAGTACATTCTTATTGAGGATCAAACTTTTTTTCATTTGGGAGACAAGGGGATTACATTTTAATGATTTAATTTGGCAGTAAATAGGCTGTGGCTTAGGCCAGTTAAATCTGTTTAGTGGGGTGGGGTGGTAGAAGCAAGCTTTTTTTTTTTTTCACTTCCCTAGGTAATTCTAATGTACAACCAAATTGAAAACTTTTGATTTAAATAAAAGTTCTTGCCAAACTTGGATAGATTCAAGTTTTATATTTGGTCAGAATACCATAGATAGTGGTGCATGTTTCATATTCTATTACTTCAAGTGAAATACCACAGTTTGTCCATTTTTAATCTAAGGGTGATCCCTTCATTGTAAATTTCCCCATTCCCTTTTCACCAAATAGTTTAACTCGTTGAGAACCATTGTGAGAAATTTTTCAGTAGGAATTTTGGAATGGCAATTTTCCTGATCAGTGTTTCTTTCCTCCTACATTCATAACATAGACACAAAGGGGGGCTTCAAAGCTTCATGGAAAAAATGGATTTGAAAGAATAAAATTTTTCCACAAGCTTTTTGAAATCCCTTCTTGCATATATGTGAGTATGAACACACACACAGTTTATTGTGTTACATGGATTCAATTCTTAAAAAGATTCATTGTACCCTAATCCACTATGAGGAAAAGAAAAATACAAATTAAAATTTACTCTAGCCTAGGACACAAAGAAGAATGATGCTATTTCTAGGAAGTTGAGAAAGTAGCTTTGCAAGAATGGTTCCTAAAGTAGATTTTTTTTTTCTGCTTATATCATTTTACTTCTGTATAACATGGCACATAATAGCTGCTTATATTTCTTGACTGATTCATATTTAATATTGAGAAATATGAGCTGCTTATAATACCAGGTCTGTGATAAACAAAACAACTGTCCCCCCCAAAAAACAGAAAAAAGCTCTGCGAGGCAGAGCTTTCGTAGTACGCATTTTAGCATTTCTCCCACTAGGCGAGGCTTGAGCAACTTGCTCTGAGTTAGTGCACCCAGTGACGTAGCGTGGTGGTAAGCTTCTCTGGTCACAGTGAATTGTTTCATAAAAGCAGTTTCACTCAAACCTCGTTTTTTGTGACGGCCTATTTAAGAGAACTGCGTGGGGCTATGAAATTTTGTTTCCTGCTTGGGAAAAATGTCGCAGAAACTGTTGTGGTGTTGAACACAGCTTATAAGGACAGCACTATGGGAAAAATTCAAGTGTGCGAGTGGTTTTCTTGTTTCAAAAAAGGTGAAATGTTGATTGACGGTAAACCTTGTTCTGTATGTCCATCAACTTCCCTGAAGGATGAAAATGTCAACTTGTACAGCATTTTGAATTCGTTCTATCAGGTCAGGCTTTAATCAAGCTTTCTATTGAGAGGCTCTGGAAACATTATGTAGCAGTATGTGACCGAAAAAGGGCCTGATTTGTGGCAGTGGGGCCCTGGTTTTGCCACTATGACAAATGCAGCCATCTCAGTGTGCCAGTTTTGGGCAAAATACAGCATGCCTCTCTTGTCCCATGCACCTTACTCACCTTGACCTCACTCCGTGTGACTTCTTTTTGTTTCCATGAATGAAGAGGGACATGAAAGGACAGCCATTTGATGAAATAAAAGAGGTAAAGAAAAAAACGAGGGAGGTGCTATCATCCATCCAAACAGATGAGTTTGAAAAATGTTTCCAAGAATGGAATCCCAGATTTGACAAATGTATTAGGTGTAATGGAGAGTACTTTGAAGGTTTACGGTTACTTTGTAAAAAAATTTAAATACATAGCTTTGGGGGTAAAATTCCAGTTTAGGGAGGTACCCCCTTGTATGTGCTTCTAGAGTTATACACAAAAGGAGTGCTTGATAGTAAATATATTTGTTGAAGTAATGCATCTCTTATTTAGAGATGCTAAGTTTTAAATTACTTAAATTATTATCGTTAACTGTGAAGTGCATCTCTTTCTGAAACAGGTTTGTCTAAATACTTTTCTACACTTTGAATTATGTGCAGGTATTTATTTTTGTAATTTTTCTTATAAATTAGTTGCCCTCCCCAGAAGAGAAGTGTCAACAAGTCTTGGAACCCCCTTATGATGAAATGTTTGCAGCTCATTTAAGGTAATACATTAGTGAGAAAGAAAAACTTTTGTGGAAATTACTGAATCTGCAAGAGATATTATCTAATATGACGTGATTGAAGCAGGGACTAACTTGCTTCAGAAACATATAAATGTACATTTGTAATTGAATTTTGGTAAAATCTATTAAAATAGTCCCAAGTTCTAAATACATTAAAATTCTCGTAGGTTTTATTTTTTCAATTAAAGCATCATGTTTTTTAAAAAAATTAAATGTAAAATGTGATTGTGAATCTTATGTACATACACAAAAATATTTCCTAAAATTTAAGTACTGTGTAGTACTATAAAAGTAATCATTAAAAAAAAAAGTAATCATTTAGCATTTTTCATATGTGGTAAGCAGTCTTATTTAGTTAGTATGGTGCTCAAGTACTACTTGCTATTATTATGGAAATATGTTTATTAAACTTACTAAAAAAGACTAGAACTGAATAAAGCAAACAAAATATTGCTTTTTAATTTGTTTCATATCTCTAAAGCATTGATCCATATAAAATGCTATATATGTAACTCAAAACAAACTCACTGTCGTTGAGTAGATGCCGACTCATAGTGGTCTTATAGCACAAGGTAGAAATGCCCCTGTGAGTGAGTTTCTGAGACTGTAACTGTTTACGGGAGTAAAAAGCCCTGTGTTTCTCCCACAGAGCAGCTAGTGGTTTCGAACTGCTGACCTTGTAGTTTAGCATTTAACCACTATGCCACCATGGCTCCTATACACTTAGGCAGTGTGAAATTTGATTCACCTTCTGCCTGAATTCTAGTGTTGCAGAACAGGTGGGGGTATAGGTGCAGGATAGCACATAAAAACTTTTAAATTAAAAAAATATATATAATCGTCTTATTAGGGGCTCATACAACTCTTATCACAATCCATACATACATCAATTGCATAAAGCACATTTGTACATTCATTGCCCTCATCATTCTCAAAACATT